GCCCCTATTATAATTTGAGTTCTTTGAGGGCAGGGGATGTTTTTACCCTTTAAAAAACTAAGCGATTGAAAAATCCCTAAGACTTTAGCACAGTGCCTGGCACATAACAAGGAGTTGATAAATGCTTGTCAATTGTTTCCTTCTTTTTTTGCTCAGATGTGAACTCCTGATGTGAAATCTTTCTAAGTCAGTATTTTTCCTTCCTCAAACTGTCTTCTCCTATATAATGTAAATTTTGAGACAGGGACTGTTTTATTTTGGTTTCTGCATCCTCTGGCACCTAGCATAGTGTTTCAAAAAAAGTAGGTGCTTAAATAAAAATCTCTTCTGGGTTGTATTGAATTTTCTAAGGGACAGAAGGTACTATGATCTGCACTGGGAGAGGGAGAACCAACATTGATGAAATCACAGATTCTTAAAGTATCAATTATCCAAGTTATAGTTGCTCCTCTTCTCTCATGAGTACAGATAGTCAAGGAGAAGGAATTTACTGAATAATTCAATACTTTGATGACACTGACATTCCACTGATGTGAGTACTTTCTCCAATGATGCAGATTACAAACCACCCACACCTTCTTATCCCATGAGTCTTCTCCATATTCTCCAAAAAATTCTCCACAGGAGGGCCATTCAATGTGGTAGGGCTTTCCCCTAGATCTCTATATATATCACAAAAGTGCCAATGAAGCATGCAAGCTAACTGTTCCTTCATACTTTCTACATTATTGGTCCTCTTCTTTTTCAGCCTTTTTGATGATATATTTTACATAATCTTTAACACTTAATTTGTCATGAGTAATGTGCTACATCTTTTCATTGCCCTTTGGGTAACTTGAAATTTTCATTCCTCAGAGACTATGGCATTCCATGATTTGTAGCCATATAGCATCTCCTGAAAAACATTCATGTTAAAAAAAGATGGATTATTCCCAAAGCTTAAGATCACTAAAAGTGCTAAGTAATTTTCCAAATTCAATCCAGTTTTTTCTCTTCTATTCAATTCTGAGCCCAATTCATTGATTATCCATAATGTCTGTCCAAGATAGATGTACTGATGGGCTTGGCAGAGAGGCAGAAATATGGAATCAAGGCCAGTCAATGCTGGTTGTAACTAATTCACCAACTTGCCCTTTCCGTTGGCTATACAAGCTATATTACTCTATAGGATCATGGTCGTTGTCTTTTTCCAAATGATTATCAGCCCCCAAGACAGCATTTGAAGGACAAAGGCAAGTATCACAAACAGTCCTTTTCTATCTTTAATTTCTATTATTCTGAGACTTACTGACCAGGGGCCCTTCAAAAGACAAATAAAATTGTGGAGGTGGCCTAAAACAAGATGAAGTCGAGGTCTATTTTATACACTTTAATATGAAAGATATTTTTTCCTGGTAAATTCTAAAACAAAGCTGTACTGTAGAGACTCAGTCTTAAGTATTTCTGTTTTTTTAGGGTTAGTTTCAATAATGTTAACCTTAACTCTCCTTACTTAGAACTAAGTGAAGTAGCTATGTGAAAAGATTTATTCTAAAAATACCTCTGAGTTGGTGACTTAAGAATCAGTTATGGATATTGAAGTAAGGGATGAAAAAAATCCTGGCAAGATTAGTTTGGTTTTCATGAATTGAGGCGGATAAATGAGAAATAAGGCAGTTATGTAATTTTGGAGATGTTTCTATACTCTACTTTTCTCAGCCACCTTTATTTCTATATATACACATACTAAGAAGCTTACTGGTATTAGGTAAAATTACTAAAAAGAATTACAAACACATTAGGATTTTGGCTAGAGTTCATTAAAGGTACTTTCTGAATGTCTTACCCTATTGCTCAATGGAGCTGTTATTAATTACTTTTGAAAAAATGTTTTATTGATGTTTAGGAAAAAAAAAACCCTACCACATTGCTGTTATTTCCCAATCTGACCTTCTAAATAGAACTCTCTCTTGAAACTAAGAATTATTGTTAAACCAAATAAGCCAACACATTGGCCACGTCTGACAGTGTCTGGCTCATTACACACCTATAGTCCGCAACTTCTCTGCCAAAAGGAGACAAGTATGTTTTGCTGTCAATCCTCAGTATGTATTTATTTCAAACCCTCCATGTGCATATTTATTAGTGATAGATAAACAGAGAGGCATAGTTATAAATCTCCAAAGAACTTAGCCTATAGTTGACAACAAAAAGAAATTACCTTAGAACCCTGAGGTACATTTTAAAAATATGGCTAACAACATTGTTTACCAGAGTCTTTGGAACATGGTTATCCTTTCTAAACTAAAAATCCATGTTGGGAGATTTAAAAGGAGTCTTATTTTATAAGAAATGTTAATCCTTAGAGACTGGGTGTATGACAGGAATTACTTATCCTGTAAAAGTACACACTGCATCTGTATGACTATAACTTTTTTTAACCTCTAAAACAGTAACAACAATACCCATTTGAAATAAAATTGTATGTGTGGCAATGTTATCAGGATCCTGCATTTGTCAAAAGAGACTAACTCAAACTTTATCAACTTCTAACAGGGAACTAAGTATTTAGGAAAGAAAAATGTATAAAAAGAAATCCAAAGCTTGTCACACTGCTTGTAAAAGAATAGGCCATTCTTTAAGCTGCAGAACTGGGGGAGCTCCCCCTCCCCCAATCCTTTTTTCAGCCTCTTAATTTTAAGCCAAGCATCTGCTATTACATCTCATAAACTAGCATCATTTATCATGTACTTAAACTTTGGCACTCTAGGCTGACTGTTTAAGTTTTTGAAATGATAACACTCAGCTACAGACATATTTATTAGGTCTCTCCAGCCCTGAAGTGAGTTATGCTGACAAATGAGGAGATGGCAATTTTTTCTCTTAGCTTCTCCTTGTGTTTGAGTGAAAAGAAAAACTACCATGGCTTAGTGAAAACCTGGGTTCTAGCCCTAGATCTTACTAGCGCTGTATGATTACAGACAAGTACATTTCTGTGAGCTTTGGTTTCCTCATCTGTAAAACGGGGATGACCATCCTTGCCCTTCTTACCTCACAGTAGTATATCCTAAGGTTCATATTAGGAGAGGGATGTGAAAGGGCTCTGAAAACTATAAACCACAAAACATGGATATGAATCATGATGATGATGATCTCTTTGAAAATCATTCCTTGTTGGTCATTCACACAATTTGGCCTTCTCTGTCCAGGGGAACTGCTCTGAATTAATGATCAGGTTAAACTTGAGCCATGATAGTACTGAAGTTATTCAGACCATGCATTATAGAGAAGAGCTACATAAGAGGTTTCTGACAAAAGCAGAAATTCACTGGGAACTTAATCCTGACTAATTTTCATATGACCCTACTAGCCTTTGGAAGACCTTTGTGCACACCAGGCAATGGCCCAAACTTGCCTCTTCTGCTAGTTGATGTCTACCAAAGGGTTTTGAGTCTCCAAACTAACACATGTGACCTGAGTTCAGGAAAAAGCCATGGAGAGGCAGCTAGATAGTGCACTGGATTGGGTGCTGGTGTGCAATCAGGAAGTCGTTGCTGGCGAATCCTTTCAGTCATGTCCAACTCTGTGTAACCCCATTTGGGGTTTTCTTGGCAAAGATACTAGAGTGGTTTGCCATTTCCTTCACCAGCTCATTTTACAGATGAGGAAACTGAGGCAAACAGCAGTAAGTGACTTGCCCAGGGTCACGTAGCTAGCCAAGTGTCTGAGTTCAGATTTGAACTCAGGAAGATGATTCTTTCTGACTCCAGGCCCTGCACTCTATCTATTGCACCACCTAGCTGTATCTGGAATCAGGAAAACCCGAGTTCAAATCTCAACTCAGACTAGCCAAATCACTTAACTTCTGTCTGCTTTAGTTTCCTCATCTGTAAAGTGAGGATAAAAATAGCACTTACCTCCCAGGGTTGTTGTGAGGATCAAACAAGGTAATATTTATAAAGTGCTCTGCAAACCTTAAAGTGCCATATAAATGCTATTATTATTACTTTAGGGCATTAATAACATGCATCAATAAAAAGAATATTAAAGAATATCCTAGATTATGCCCCCAAAGAAATTAAATACCCTGCCTATCCCTAGTTCCAGCTCTATTCAACTTGTTCCATTAGTCCTTTTCCCCTGAATTGTTCGTTTGGCCAAGAGTTTCAGGTGTCCCCTTGAACCCTTGGGTCTGATAAGTCCTCTTTCAGAGTTCCATGAAAAACTATGCAGTCATGACAGAAATGTTTAATCTGTGGCTACACTGTTATTTCCAAGGCTGATCCCAACCAGGGATGGGGATTTAGCAGTAGGGATTGGGATTTAGAACAACCCCTCCCCAATCAAGGCCAATTTTTAAAACTCAAGACTTTACAACAAAGAAATTGAAAATGATTTTCTAAATCACATTGCTGACTGAATTCTGACTACCATAACTGGCTTATAACCTGATTACCAGAAAAAGGGGGGATACTATCCTTTATGAGACTGACAAGCTGGCACCAAAAAAGTCATCTGTAGGGAAAAAAAGACACTGCACTAAGGTATTACCAGCCAATCATAATTATTTTAAGTAGACCATTTCTCTGCTCTCCCCAAATCTCACACTATTGCTTTTGGAAACAATATATTTTTTAAATGTTGGTACTATTTATTGTTGACAAATTGTAAGTTAAAACTGTATAAATCACAGAAGATCAAAGCTAGGGCAGAGCTAGAGATGGAAAAGTAAGTATTATAGATAAGACTATATTAGCATACTCATCTTAAGATGAAGCCTGGAGAAACTTCTTGGTTTTTTTCCTACCCATAAATTAGTGCCTGGCACATAGTAGATGCTTAATAAATGCTTGTTGATAAATTGACTGAAGGCAAATTTCTTTGGGGGATTCAGATCATTGAAATTCAATATCTAAATAATATTTAATTCAATATCAATCCAGATACCACTTTTCTACATGTTAAACATAGAGAAAAATGAAAGTCACTGTGCTTTAGGGTCATTTCATTCATGTACTTACATGATTGAGAAATTTGCTGTCTTTGGTGGCCCAGCCTATCTGCATGACTCCAGAAGTGATAACTGTGACTTCATAGTACCATACCCCAGAGTCAACACAGAATGTGCAACGCACACTTTCAAAGGAGGAGGCATCACATCGAGCCTAACAAGACCAAATGGCATGACAGTCAATAATGGTTACTTGAAAGATGATAATAACCTAGGTAAAGCACAGTGTCAGCTTGTAGTCACTGCCTGGCATATTTAATGCTCTCATGATTAAAGACAGACCCTTCTTTCCTTGACATGCACAAAACACAAAACTGGAGGAGATTCGTGGGAGCCCTGTGTATGTAGATGCCAAAGGAAGGTGGGCTCTATCAGAGGAGAAGGCTGCTGAGCTCCCTAAAAACTTCTGAGTCATTTCCTACAATGGGGTGACCCTACATCTAGAGGACTGTACAAGTTCTTGGAAGCATAAGGGACTGATGAGGTGGGGGGCAAGGGAGCGGTGTTGATTCCTTAGCAACTTCAAGTTATTTCCCTTGGCTTAAGGGCCCTACTTAGGGTAATACGATAAGTCTGGAGGATTGTACAGGTCTTTGGCAAAGACAGAGGCCCACTGGAGAGGGAAGGGGAATTGTCTCAATGTTTATGGGCTCAGGTGAAAGCTCTTTGCATTTTGTGGTTGGCTTAAATCAGACCTTTCTGATAGCTGATGTTTTGTTAGTCTGAGTGCTTATTTTATTTTATTTTATTGTGTAGAAACCTTGACAAAAGCCAAATTCTGATGTTCCTAGGTGAAACCCTAAATGGGAGTATAAGCCAAAGAGAAATAATTATTGAGAAGCCTCTAGTCTTTGGCACTAGGCCACAGGTGCGAAAAGGATAAGGGTTTTCAAAACTATAAATTATTGCTTTTTTACCTCCAATCCATGGGGTGAGATCTTCAGGTACTCACTAACATCATTGCTATTCAGCATGGCCCTAATGTTGGTTAGGTCCACTTTCTCATAAGTAAACTGCCTGCCTTCTTTCAAAACTGCAAAAGAAAAATAAACTGTGTTGCTACATCACACTTCTCTGGAAAATAATGAAATTAGCAAAGTTTAATAGCTGTGATTGTGGCCTGTAAGGTCAAGTAGGTCATGCTGAATGGCGGCTTTGGTTATACATTATAGTAAGTGAATGTGCCTGGCTAGAAGTCAGGGAAAGCAGTATGATTTTCAACATTAGGTTCCTTATACCTGAAGAATCCTAATTCCCAAACACCAGAAACATATATATTACACAAAGCACAATTTTCTTTATTTCAGGTGAAATGATGTCCTGAATTCTTATAGTATGGGGATTATGATCTGGTTTGGCAATGCTTGGGAAGGAATTATTTCATTTTGTGTCTATATCTCCAGCACTCAGCAAAGGATATGGTACTTAGTGGATGCTTCACAAATGCTTGTTGATTGGTAAGTCTACTAATCTTCTCTTGTCACTATGGAAGATTTCCTTTTAAAATCAAACACGTGTCTACTGAACAGCAAGTACATGACCAGTATTGTTCCAGATACCAAAACGGGTCTCTGCTCTCAATCTGGTTGGACAGAGAAGTAGGGTTAGGGTGAGCCAAAGACACGTGAAAGAATTAACAATTGATGTGAGATGCATAAGACACTATAAAATGGACAAACACAAGATGGTGAACTTGTGCCAAATTTCGTGGTTCAGACAACACATGCTCTATTTCTGTTCAGAGAGGGGTAGGTAGGAATAGTTAGGATAGCATTTATAGAGGAAGTAGGACTTAAACTGGATCTTGAAGAATAGGTAGGATTTTAATATGCAGAAGAATGAGGAGAGGAGAATCAAATCAAGAGACTGGAATAGGCATGGCATGTTTATGGAACAGTTTATGGAGACTGCTTTGGCTATGGCAGAGTATGTGTGTTAGTGACAGTTTGAGATGTAGGGTACAGCCAAGTTAGGGATGGCCTTTATATGGAACTGATGTGGCAGGAAATAAGAGTGAGTGAGGATTTATGAGCAGGGGGATGCTGGAGTTAGAGGCAGCCTACACAACTTGTCTGGAGGACTCCGAGGGATACCTCTCTGTAGTATTCCTAACCCTCTCACATAGGGATCTTTCAGGGAAAGATTCAGTCTTCTCATCATCACCTTCAGCATTATTTCACCTGTGGTAACACTTTGTATTCCATTCCTCTCCTGTACTTATCACATTCTTATCACATATCATATTGTATCATGTCCCTGTCTTATCTTACTGTTGCTTTGCTCACAGTAGACACAATAAATATTTGTTGAATGAATAAATGAATTATTATTAGAAAAATAAGACTAATCATCAAATGGTAGCAACTTTTTGAGTGGAGGTGGAAATCATTTTAATAAAATACACTAACTTACAGAGATTGTCTAAACTCCACTGGGTACAGAAACCAACTTGACGTTTCAGATAGTCAGAATTTTCTGTCCATCTCTCCAACATGACAAGACGGTCACTAATACAGGATTTGGAGATAGTCATCTTATTTTCACCTAGCAGGAAAGAAGCAAGACTTGAATTAGCTAGCAACTAGGGGAAAAAAAATAAACATTCTAAATGAGTGAACTGGAAGAAAAGAATGAACATTCTACTTTCTGCATAGCTCATATGAATTACACAATTAAATGATAGTCAACATTTTTCCTGAAATTAGTCAAAATTTCTACAGGCTAAGAACAAGAGGGTAACCATGGTCAAACATCTCAACAAAAACTGGTACTGCAGAGAGATGCTATATGCGATTATATAAAGTAAAAAATCATAGCAATCCTTCACCTGTGGAGGGGAGAAGGGGGAGGGAAGAGGGACTGTAAACCGAACTTCCTTTGTTAAACAAGTAAAACTAAGGTACTTGATTTAAAACGGTCAAGGTACATATTACTTCTTTTTTTCATTTACTTAGTATTTTATTTTCCCCCCAATGACATGTAAAAACAATTTTAAACATTCGTTTTTAAAACTGAGTTGCAGGGGCAGCTAGGTGGCACAGTGGATAGAGCACCAGCCCTGGAGTCAGGAGGATCTGAGTTCAAATCCAGCCTCAGACCAAACACTTTCCACTTACTAGCTGTGTGACTTTGGGCAAGTCACTTAACCCCACTGCCTACCAAAAAAAAAAAAAGAAGTAAAACTGAGTTGCAAATTTTCTTCCTCCCTTATGACCCTCTTACTGAGAAGGCAAGCAATCTGATATAGGTAATACATTGTAATCAGGTACATGTTGCTTCTGTGGTACACCCAAAGGCCCTAAATTCATCCTATATACATTTTAAAATTAAACAAGTAAAGTTTTTTTTTCATGTAATGTTTAAAATTTAAATGAGTTGCCAACAGCCCAGCAGTATCAATGTATATTTCTGCAACAGAATGTGCATACATATGTTAGAATTCACAGCGCTGCCTGATCTACCAAACAAGCATATCAGCATTTCTGAATATGGCACATTATCACAAGAAATTACTGTACACTTACTGGTCTGTGCAAACTTTTCCAGTGCGATCAGTGCAAAAAGCATGACTGTAGGATGGGACTGGAAATTCTGAAAGATAAAAAAAAAAATTATCATTTTCAATTTCAACCTCTCTCTGCTGTCCCAATAGCTACACATGCTAATTTTGCTTTCTTGCTGAATATATGCTAGATTCTTTTTTGAGCACCAAAAACATTCAGATACCACAAGGACTAGGACACCTTTGCTTAACACTGTGCGTAGTCAAGAATTATTACAGAGTCTTTCTTTCCTAAAGTTTCTCCCTTAAAAAACACACTGGCTATAGTTATTAGCAAGGAGATAAATTCAAAGTATTAATAAGAAAACTAGAAATTTTGGGGATTTAGTGATAGCATACAGTGTCACTGCACCCACCAGGGGATAGACTGTATGTCTACTGTCTGAGAGCTAGGCTAGCTAAGGGCAGAGAAGACTGGAAGAATCTGAGGAAGTTATAAATCAGGTCTCCACAACTTGTGGCCCTCAGGCCGGTTACTTTTATGTAGAGGAAATCCTTTGGTGAGCCCAAGGACCGTAAATGGACCTCTGGGATGCAAGCTGTGCAGGCTTGTTGTAAGTCAATTATAAAAGCAATTTTATGACATTAAAGTTTAAAGCCAGAGCAGTATACTAGACAGACTGCTAGACCTGGAGTCTTGGGTTTGAATCTTACCTTAGACACTTAACTAGCTTTATGACCCAGGCAAATCACTTAGCCTCTGAACCTTAATTTCCTCATCTGTGAAATGAGGTTTAAAAATAGCACCTATATCTCACAGGACTGCTATGAGGATCGAGTAAGATAATATATACAAAATGTTTTACAAATGTTTGTAAATGTTTGCTATGATAATTTTTTAAAAAACATTTAATTCCAGCAATATTCTCCTCCCCACTTTTGCCCCCATATTTTAACATAATCTGAAATAAAGACAACTTTGGGAAACATCTGCAAATATGATTGCCTTCATTTCCTATGCCAATCTATGTTGTATTTCTTGAGGAAATATTTAATATAATAGAGCTTAACAATTCTGTAGTCACATCCTAAAAGGCTCTTTATATATATGAAAATAGAAAACCTTCTCCTCCCTAAAATTAAAAGCTCTACGTTCTATTTTTCAGATTAGAAGATAAGAGTTTTTACTTATTAAAAGTCAGGGAAATGAGAGAATTTCAATAATGACTGTGATTTCAAACTTTGAGCAGGGATTAAGGCACTACAAGAAACAAATTCTGGCAATGCTTTCCAATTCTCCTTCTCTCTCAATCTAAGAATTTTTGCTTTGTTTTTTAACACCAAAATAATTTATTATACATTAGCATTAGATGACTGGCAATATCAACTGCTTTTGATATATCACTTACCAGACTCTGTAACAAATATTCTAATATCCCCGGGCTAAGTAAGCTTATGCTTGCAGGACCTGTAAAGCAATAATAAATATGATACATATTATTACAATGGCACATGTATAAAACTACTGTATTACATTTTCATATCAGCAAGTACTGAAGTGTCAACCACATGGTTTATATACAATGTCATCTGGTTTATAGGCAAGATAATCAAATGTACTTTGAAATTAACTCTCAAGTTCCCTGTATGAATACATATATTCAGGCAGATCAACTTCCAAACTCCTTTTTAGATAAAGTTTTAAGTTGTACCAAAAAGGACAATATTGTTTAACTCTCTGCTTGGTTTGGTTAAAAAAAAAAAAAAAAGCCCAGGTTTGGAGCCAGAAGCCCTGAGTTTGAATTCCAGCTTTGCTACTTGTGTTGAGCTCTGGGAAAGTAATTTTCCCTCTCTAGGCTTCAATGTCTTCATATGTAAAATGAGGGGTCTGGATGAGATCACCTCCTAGGTCCTTTTTTAGCTCAAGATTTATGGACCTATTCTATGGCTTGATCTAAGAAGGGCAGGTGGAGTTTTTTCTCAAAAAGTCCCCTCTTTTGTATAAGGTTGTAAGGTCATGTCAAAAGAAACATGTGACACTATATAAACTTAGAAATTATAATAACATTTAATAACAGTAACATAATAACAATAATAACATTTTCTTGTCATTATTAATTAAATTTAATGAAATCTCTGAAAAATAGTGTCCTTCAGCTATAGGCTCTCAAACACCAACACAGAAATCACATACGCCATGGTAAGGTAAAAAATACCTATCAATACCCAATCCTTTTGTTTAAAAACCGGAGGAAAAACAAGAACTTTTATGCTCTCTTTAAAAAATGTCAACCGAAAGAAAACTAAGAGTTCTGATTACATAGTGCTTGCCAAGGTAGGATACTTCTAGTCCACAGGACAGGCTTAGTAGTTATTTAATTTCCAGGATGTGATCTCATTTATGTCTTTAGCTGAATAAACACAAGAGTTTAACAATCGCTTAGCCATAGCCTAAAAGATTCCATGTAGATATGAAAATAGAAAATCATATCCTCTCTAAAATGAAAAGCTATTCTACTTTTCAGGTTAAAAAAAAAAAAGAGATTTTACTAACTGAAAGATAGGGAAAAAAGAGAATTTCAAGAATGACTGTGATTTCAAACTTTAAGCAGGGATTAAGACAATGTAAAAAAAACAAATGGTGGCAATGTTTTCCAATCTCCTCACCTAACCTTCAATCTAAGGATTTGTTTTTGCTTTTAACACCAAATCTTGGGAAGTATCAGTAAATGGATTAAGTCTTTCTCTTTTTTTCTATATTACAAGGTTATGTTCTTCTCTTTTTTATTAACTTTAGAAGTTTTTTTTTTTTGGTTGCTACAGTATTTGAGTGTGGTTTTATATGCCTTGTTCTTAATTTTAAAAGCTAAATGAAATATATTATCATATTCTCTAAAAATTAGCCACCTAGATTCAACTGCTTTTTACTGACATGGACCTCATTTCCCCCCTTATCTCTTTACAGAAAACAAAACAAACTAGTTGCCCAACCATAATACAGTGAGTTTGGTTGCAGACATCAAATACATTTTTTAAATGTGAAATTTCTCATAATTACCTGCTAGTTTCTCAGCCAAGCAGCCCAGTACTGCTGTTGTGTTACGGTGTTTGGCAGGATGACTAGCATCCTGGCAAGCAACAGCTCCATTTAAATTTAGAATTTCAGTCAACTTCTGCAGTGCATCCTAAAAGAAAAAGTACGAAGTGGACTTAACATATTTACATCTCAATTTCTTTTGGTGCACCTGAGTCTGCAAAGAACAACTAAGCACCAATGAAATGGAAATCAACATCACGTGATAAGGACATAATGTACCATCACATTAAATCACGTATTAGAGTAACTTTAAAGTTATGTTATTTCAATAATTGAGGCTTGCCATGCAAAGGACATCATTCATAATGCACCTGCTGTGTCAACTATATAAAATACATTTTTTTATGCCATTGATTTTAAAAGACCTAGTCCAGGCAGCTGCCAACACAGCAGGAGTCAATGGGGACTAACTAATACAGGGGTGAAGAAATTTCACTATTTCAATAGTGGCTGTCTTTCTTCTTAAAAACAAATACAGCACCAAATGAAACTGAAACAGGAATCTCAGAAGCCTAAATCACAGTCAACTCTTTAATAGCTAAGTCAAGGAATTTTCCTTTCTGTCAGAAGGGTCGCCATACTGGACTGGAGCACCTGAAACTCGTATAAGGCTCAAGAAAATAGGCCAGAAGCCAACTCAATTTTCTTTTTAAAAAATAGCCAAGTCAAAGGAGTCAACAGGGTATGTAAAATAAATTAATGACATGAAAGAAGGAATAAGACAAGGTCACATCAATACGTGACTGACTTGCACTGTCATTTTAACTGTAACAAAGGTATACTGGCCAATTCTACATTTATTAACTTGGTGAGCTAAAGTGTAGACACAGAACTGGAAGATAAAGAAAACAGAACTTCAGATGACAGATTAGGCATTTTTACCTGCCTGTCTGAACTGCAGATCACGTATAAGTTAGCGTATTCCAACATTACAGTGAAGAAATCTGATCAGTTTTCCCTTCCTACCCTCCCTTCCCATCTTGCACTTTACTCAAGCAATATATAGTGACTACTACTACCCTCTCACATGCAGCAAACAAAATAATTTATGATCAGTATCTTGGCCAAGTTATTACTTCTAATCTGTGGATACTTTTTCATATCATGTGATCACAAAGGAACATTAGACTGAAAAATCCTCTTAGCCGAGTAGTTTTCACTCTAAATTTGAAAAAAAAAAGTTTTCAAAAAAACCTTCTGGTATGGGAAAACGAATGTAGGAACAATTAAGGAACAAGAAAATTAGAACCAAGATTACAAAGTTCTAGTTTCAAAAAAGACTTCTGTTTCAGGTAATACTCATCTGTCCATCCCTTTAATTTTTTTTGCTTAAACTAGTACTTACTAATCTCCAATTAAATTTAGTTGTTTCACGGAAATAAGATCTAGCACTTTGCCTTTAGCAAATGCTAAAATTGGGGGATGATGTTAATAATGAACAACATTTTGGCCCTAATGCATAAAGAGGAAATAGCTCACATCAAACTTTCCCTCTCGTTATTCATCCTTGGGCATATGTGTAGGTGGTAGCTGCATAAGTTACACATGTGTTAACTTACTTTAGTTGGCAATGGACACTCGTCTAGTAATAACGTTATAACAGCTGGTCCCAATGGATCTTCCAATGGAATAACTCTAATTAAAGACTGGACAACTTCCAACCATCCTTCATCTGCAACCAAATCAAGGAGATTATCAGAGGGTAGTGTTACTATTTTTTAAAACTCAAGAATGGGTAGACAAGTCATAACAAAAGTAATGTAAGACGACCTCACACTGAAATAGGAAAACCTTTTTTAGCCCTTACCACGAGGCTTTTAAAGCAACTAATGATGGCTAGCCATCTTATGATGGCTGGAATCAAAGAACTTTAACTGGCAAATCTGGCAGTTCTAAAAGTTCTAAAAGGTTGAACATTCTGTGCCATGGCCCAGAGTATTAAGCTACATTTAAAAGTTCTCTCTTAAATGTATTTTTAAATGATTTCTCATTTGAGAACTAATGACAAAGATTAAAAACATAAAACAGTATTGTATAGCATTACAGTGATATTTAAGAAACTAGTTAACAATAGAAAGAACATTAATAGACATTTTTCCTCCAGTTTCAAAACAGTTATATGCAGGTTGTTCTTTTGTCTGTCAATTAGAAAAGAGTTAAATCTCATTTTCTACTTCTAAATAAGACAAATCATCAGCAGAAGACTGTGTGAGTTATTCCAATTCTTGGTATGATTGCACAGGGAGTTTGAGGGGGAGATGGAGGGAGGGAAAATTTTTTTTCTCTATTGTACAGAAAGTGGTTTTGGAACCTGTTGGTCAAGATGAGTGAAAGACCAGTATAATTGTAAATTATCTGCCATGAATAAAACACTGACAACTAGCTTTCTTCTATAAAGAAATAAAAACCTAAATTTAGCTCTCTTCATGTAAATAAGCAACAAAAATAAACATGTTTGTTGTCAACTTGTGAACAGGCGGTATTTCAAAAGGTCATAAATGGGTTGTTTAAATTTGGGAAAAATTTTTTCTTAGAAAGAAAAATATATATATTATAGTAGTATGTATTATATCACCAAAAGGTGGTTAGTTCTTAGGTGAGTTTACAAAGGCCCATTTAACTCATGATCTGTTGTTTTGTACAGAATAAGTGATGTGAAAAATAATGTTACGTTTGACTAGATTGGCCACATTTCAAGAATGAGATATTACAAACGGATAGTCCAAGTGCTAACACTGGCAGCCTTAAGTTATTAAAAGAACCATCCAGTGTACTCCTCAGTATGTTGGTAAAGCCTCTATGGAGGATTTGTAGAACAACATGGACGAAAACAGAATCAGTTAGAAACATCTGGAGGGAATATCTACATGACAGAAATCACAGATCCTTTAGCATAACTTAAGCATATGAGGCATACCATTGAACCCAACCACCACACAGAACAGTTGTTTCTATGGGAAAATATATTACATTCCAACTTGGGAGGGCAAGAAGAATGGGAACAGGAACTTCTCTTTCTCTTTCCCAACAGGCAATGGGAATAGGAACTTTCTTAGCTCCAAGGCAGTGGGTAATAGGCTCTGCCGTCTGGGTTAGGTCACATGGTTAAGGTAGGGTAAGGGACCAGGTAGTATTAGGGGTATGGAACCATACTCAACTGGCTACACAAACGTTTCTTTTAGTTCTACTCTTGAGTTCTAGACTACTTCCTTTTCCATTTACTGCTTCTTTCTTTCCTCCCTGGTCTCCTATGGAGAAAATGAAGGATTCTGGCTCCTTTCTCCGATTTCTGAAGCATATAGCACTTTGGAGTTTTGTTTTTTTCTAAGGGTTTTTTTGACTGGTAATAAGAGGGGTTATAATTATAAAGTGCTATACAAGTACAGCCTGTTATTAGAAGACTTCCTTCTAGGCCTGTCTTTCTTTTACTTATGCTCTATATGAAAAGCAAGACTTAGGTCCAAATGAATTCTTGGGGAATACCAAGGTGTTAAGTAAGATTTAGCTACATTTCAGAGTAAAAGCTGATGCAAGCTATTTTGGGCATTTTATCACAGGAACTGGGGCAGGGGTGGGGCTTCTGGCTTTTAAAATAAAGAACAGGCAAAGACCTCTGGGGAATGGCTATGAGTAAGGAGCTAGGCCAGGGCATTGGTATGGAGGAAAGCAGCTTTGGAGAACTTGTCACCATGAGCTCAGGTTAGGGTGTAGGGTAAGTAAGTTCAGGGACAGGGTAGCTCCCACATCACAGGAGACCAAAGGGGACAGGTGGCTATGACAAACAAGTCATTTGGCTGGAGTGACTGGCTATTGGTATATAATGGATGAAGTTGAATGTATCTAAATTAGGAAGGAACTGTCTGTAAATGGAATTAACCTTATTGGATACTAGGTTTTTAAAAACAGATTTTTTCCCCTTTTAAGAATATATATATATATATGTGTGTGTGTGTGTGTGTGTGTGTGTATACACCTTGGATCACTGCATATAATGTCAGGCTAGGTTGATGCATTTGATGGTTTTGTTGAACTGGCTTTTCCCCCCTTTTTAATTCTTTGTTCTAAGGAATAATTCTCTAAGAGTGATGGGTGGGGGCGCGGAATAGACATATTAGGAAATGTAGGCAACATAAAACAATGATAGCAAATAAAAATTAAAACAAAACAAAAATAGTCATACAATTAAAAAAATTAAGAATAGCTATGGAAATGACTAGTGTAACTACCAGATATTCAAGCATAGTAGTTTTACTCAGTCTGTAGGGCAGGGAACAGGAGGGAAGAAAACATGTGGAGAAGGAATTTGTAAACTAAGAGCCATTTAAAAATTATACATGAGATAACAGTAATAATAATAGTATATAGAACTTTGAGACCTACAAAATGTTTCCCATTTGATAATGAGATAATATATTTAAAGCAGGTGAGAACATTATGTTTGGGGGGGAAAACTGCATGTGGACACTGTTCAATTTCACTGTATTTAAAACACACACATTTAGTACACCAAAACTACATGTTATCATTTCAAACTTCCCAAATAGGAATTATTTTACATGAATAATTGTTTATTTTTTCTGGAAAAAAAATCAACAGAGCATTTCTTTATGCTAATAATTCTTTCTGAACAAAAAGTGTTATGATACCTGTTTCTGCCATTTCGTGCAATGTGATCATTGAGTAAGGAGGTTCCTGGTCACTGAAAAATAGACAATTAAAATGTCAAGCTTGTGAAAATTAGAAATGAAAGCTTTGAATTAAAATTCAGTTGTGGGAAGGAGAAAGAAGAGGCTATGAGCGAATGAATATAGAGGAAGGAAGGCAGGAAACCATGAGCTACAAACCTAGAAGGACCAATGCTCACAGTTAAGTGGCCATTTTGTAAAGTCAGTCTCCCCACGATGGCAATTAACCAAAATAAGAAGAAATGAACATTTATAAAAGGAAATCTCATTAGATGGAAGGAACACTGGCAAAGCATTTAACCTTTCTGAACCTCAGGAAGGTAAATGTCACCTTCATGACATCCTTGTAGAGATTCTTATGAAGACAAAAAAGAAACTTAAATGAAGTGCTAGGGGAAGAAGTAAGGTTCAACACAAATTCATAATTGTTACTGTTTCTATTTTATTTTATAGGTCCCTTTCAGAAAATACTGAAATAGTGATGACTGAACTTTCTAAGATTTAAAAGAAATATTCTGTTTGAAAAGACATGAACTGGAGAAAGAGGCCATCCATAAAAAGTGAGAATTGTGTTCAGTTCTGGATGCCATATTAGTAAGAACACAGATACAGTATGTCTGCATTGTTTCATTAGTTCTTATTTAGGTTTATGATATAAAAAATAATGAATAGATTCACCTTTGAATCCCAGAAGAACTTATTATGGACCCAAAAAGTATGAATATATACATGGAAACAGGGTACAAGTATAGTGCCCATATACTGCTGAGCAGTTATTAGAACTACAAAGATGGGCTACACCAAACAGTGAGTGTACAACCCAATTAAGTACTGAGATCCTACCAATACAATTAGGTTAGGCCACTAGGACAAGTCTAAAAGTCCATACAGAGGTGAAAAGATGTCACTTGTGTAGCTTTATGAAGTGATTATTCTCATGGTAGGTCTGACAATATCTCTCTTAGATGGTTCTTAGCTGGAGAATTTCTGCACAGCAGTCTTAGACTCCAGCTCACCTGTCTCTGGAGATTAGTCAGCTTCAGACTGATCAGGATTCAAGACCAGGCATCACAAAGGTCAGTGATCTCTGGCTGAACAACTTCACCAGGTCACTGTTCAGCTGAGTTTCTATACTTCTCTTGGAGGCTGTGGCAACACCCAATTGGTCCTTTCAAACACTTTGGTTTACTCATTTGTTGACACAATTCAACCTGTAGAACATCCTTGTAAACCACCTTGCAGAATATCCTTTTGAAGGGCACAGTCAGTCGGCTATCTGAACTTACAAATGGTCAGCCCTAGCAAATCAAGTAGGGGCTTAGGAGATGGGACAAACGCCTAGGTGATATTTTCTATATTTCAATGTCACAAGCACTGTATGTGATAAATACTGAGAATACTGCAGGCCCAATCAGTTTAATAGTATCTAGAGAAAGGTAAACAGGACGTTGAGGGAACTGGTGATGGTTGAAGGAACTGGGGATATTTAGTCTAGAGAAGAGAAGACTTGGGAGTAACGTGATAGCTGTCTTCAAGTAGTTGAAGAGCTGATAATATAGAAAAGGGATCAGACTTGCTCTGTTTGGCCTGAAAGGGTAAAAGTAGGAGCAGTGGGGAGACATTGTTGGAAGGATGATCTAAGTCTGACGTGAGGAAAAACCTCTTAATAATTACAACTGTTGGGGCAGCTAGGTGTCTCAGTGGATAGAGCACCGGGCCTGGAGTCAGGAGGACCTGAGTTCAAATTCAACCTCAGACATATAACATCCACTAGCTGTGTGACTCTGGGCAAGTCACTTAACCCCAACTGTCTCACCAAAAAAAAGAAAAAAATAATTGTAACTGTTCAAAAGTATAATGGGTAACTTAAGGTGGTAGTAGGTTTCCCCTTTGCTGAAGGTTATCGAATGAATGTTAGATAGCTATTTGTCAGTGATGTTACAGAGATTTCTGTTCATGTAGACCAGCTGGCCGGAGGTTCCATCCAACTCTAGAGATTTTGGCAATTTGTAATTTTGAAAAATTTCTCCTAGGACTAAGGATTTAGAGCCAGAAGGGACCTCAGAGCTCACCTAGCCCAAGTCAAGAAACCTTAAACTATAAGGAATCAGACTATAGCTATTAAAGAAAAGGTGACTAGAAAGAAGCAGCCTGCTTTTCTGAGACACATAAAAGAGATGTGAAAAGGGAAGTGTGGCAAATTAGGGGAGGTGAGATTCCATGTAAGAAAGTAAATGATACAATTTCAGAACTGGACAAAATCTTAGAAATAATTTAGGCTAAGCCTCTCATTTTACAAATAAGGAAAGAGGCCCAAAGAGGGGACTTACTCAAGGTCAAAGAGGCAATTAGTGGCACAGTAGAGACTGGAACCAGGTTTACAAATTCTTGGTTTGGTGTTTTTGCCACAACAGATTATTACCCACTGAAATCCTTTATGGATGTCTATTTATTGTTAAGTTCCTTGGAAACATTTTCTGTCTAATTATACAACAAAGAAAACAAGCTAAATCAGAGACAATGACGAGAGGCAAGTAAGTAGGACTGAAGTTCAAATCAGTAGATAGGCAATGACCTAACTTAGAAGTTTCAGTAGAGTTTCTACACAAGTACCTAAATTCCAAGATGGATAAAATGGTTAAGCAAGCAGAATGATCTTTTCTCCAAAACACTTTTCAGTAAATAGTTTAAAGTAGTCATATTAACAAATACTCCAAATCTATCCACCTACACAGCTTTGTCAAGCCCAAACACATATACAATTAATCAATTCAGTAAAAAGGCGGCCTTAATTGGCTATTTTCACAGTTGACTTAAGGTGAAATAATCTTAAACTTTGACTAAAAACTTAGTTTTAAATTTTGATTAAAACTCCAAACTTTAAAGTCGCATGGGTGGTCCCTACAAGAAGGAAATTTATTTTAATTTTTCACACAAAGCAGAAAATGGTATTTTAAGAAAAGAAATTTAGCTAGAGGCAGAGCGACATGCTTACAATGGTCAGCTGTTTCAAAGTCAAGGTGGGATAAAGAAAATGAGAAAAAAATTATGACCAAACAAAGCAGCATTTGGTTCCACCAAATTTGCTTATTCTATGTAGTATTAAGAATTGTGTTCTTCTCCAGAAAAATCAAAAGTACTCTTTTCCTGGATAAAGAAAGGCATATAGAAAAAGGATGAAGTACAAATTGCTTTAGCAGTATGGGAAGGAACTAATTTTAGAGGAAAACTTCCTACCAGGTTCTCTGAGTCTATTATCTTTTGTTTTAAGTTTCATTTTGAGGGCTCTATTAAACTTCATAAGAGGCCACTGTCTTCCTCTTCAAAGTATTATTGAATAAAAAGTCTTTCCAGGTCTATAAAACGATTTAAAGTGTTACACTATATTTGTTCATAGTATTCTGTATCCATTTATTCCATGTCTGCTTTGGCTTTTCCTTTTCTATGATTCCACTGCCTTTGTTTAATGTGAGGATTTTACTGTGCTTTCAAATATATTCCACTTGTCTTATTTAAATAAACAGTGGTAAACTCCATGCTTTCACAAAAAGCATACTCATTACTAGTGATACCTTCTGGAGACTTGCAAATAAAGCTTCTACCCACTGCCATGCCATTAATCATTCTTTTTAAAACTAGCAAAAGCTGCTTTGCACCTGCTTTTTCAATGGGTTACAATTAACTTGGCTTGCTATTTACTCCCTTATTTCTTTAGCATAACCATTCATAATAATTTTATAGCCCAGTAAATGGTGCTTTTAAAAAATTAATTATTACCCTGGATGATTCCAAAACTCAATATTTTGTTGGAATTCTTCAAAAGAGAAGTTCTATATACTCCCAGTTATTTTTATATCTGTATAGAGGGATTTTATATATAATAATGCAAACTCTCACCCCCTTATATTCAACTGTGGTATGGTAGCTACAAAGAGTTAACTTAAGGTTAAAAGGTACACCATCATTAAAGACATTTTGATTTCACTGTTCCTTCAATGGCTAGTTCTAAAGTTATTTTTTCTTCCCCCTAATAAAATTGCTGACTTGTGTGGAGACCAATCCAGTCACATACCCACAAATTCTTTCTCTCTCTCTCTCTTCCCCTAGGGAAAAATGTGAAACAAAAGTTTATTTCCTTGGAGTAGTAATGACATCAAACTTACAGTATGTCAATATATAAAAACAGAAAATAATGTCATTTCTGTGTTATATTTAATGTGTTTCTGAAAAGTTGTTTACAAAAAGAATTTTTTTTCCAAAATGAACTTTTATAAATAAAAGATAATTTACATGCACTTAAAAAAATCCTACTTAAAGGAATGTTTCATTCTGTAAAATACAGAATCTTTTTGTAATGTGACCCTTATCATTTATATTGCTGTTTTCACATTTAGACTGTTGTAGATTTGAATTTTCAGGGGATAGATCATAGTTAGAGCTAGAAGGGACCTTACCAGCAATATAATCCATTCCATAATTTTCATAAAATCACAGACTTAGAGCTGGAAGAGATATCAGAAGTCATCTAACCAACCAATCAATCCTCTTTATTGTACAGTGTGAAAGTGAAGCCTGGATCATACAAGTAGTAAACAGCAGAAGTGGGATATGAACCCAGGTCTTCTGATTTTAGAACCAGTATTTTTTCTACTGCACCATGCTACCTCCTATGGAAACAAGTAGTGAGTGACTTTGCTGGGCTTCAGACCCCGGTGCTCTGACTCCAAATCGAATGCTTCTTCCACTGTTCTAGGCTGACTTTAGTTTTCTTAGAATGCAGTACATATGTAGTAGTTTTCACTGTCTGCATTCATTCACAAGCAGATCAAGCATATTTACAAAGGACACAGGTGGAGAATACAGGGGAAAAGATGAAAACTACTCAGTCTATTCTTTCAGAAAGTTAAAGATATACTCTTTATACCTAATAATTACACATGTACTCTGTTAGGAGAGACAACTTGAATCTCTGGTCAGTGGAATGGATGAGAGAGTACTAATGATAATGAATATTCTTAAACTATTACTTCCTGTTATTACCGGTAACAAACTTGCTTGGTCTTCTACTTTTCCACTAATGGAGATCAGAGCTTTAATTAATGTTTTCATCCTAAAATAATGTTTAGACAAATTTAGGCTGAAGTCAACGCTGGCAAGTGAAAACACAAAACCATATAATTTACTTTGCCATTAGAGATACCAACAAAAATATCCTCCCTTTCCCTAAAAGTACAAGGCTCATTGTCATATATCCTGATACACAGCATGTAAAACAAGATGAAGCCAACTGTTAGAAGTTCCTAGCAGAAAAATTTTGTTTAAAGCTGGAGTGATTGGTAGGTGGGTACTTACTTATCTACAAGCGTCCGAATTACTGCTAGTGTGTCCAACACCAAGCCATCTACATTTTGTTTCTTTCTTCTTGGCTCGTGTGGTCCTCGGCCTCTCCTAGGTGGTCTCACAGGGTCCCTTGGATGGCTTCTGTTTTCAGCTGCTGGTATTATACTGTTCTCAGTCTGCTGATGCTGGGACTCTGCATTATCTTCTGTGCCACTATCATCTCGACAAATACAAGAGTTGCCCATGTTGGTGGCTCCCAAAGTTCCCAGAAAACTTGATATATGCTGCTCTAAAGTCAGCAGCAAACCTTGTACAAGGCTTCTGCTAGCATAAAACACAACCCAAGCAAAGACAATCATTGAGAAAGTTTTCCAAGTACTGTTTTCATAATCTTGAATTGAGGTATCTGCATCATATTTGTTATCAACAATTGGAATCCAAAGGAAGTTGTAGATTTGGTATCCAACATTATCACCTAAAATAAACCCTGATCATCCAAAAGCAGGTCTAAAAAAACAAATTAAAAAAAAAAACAACAGTTAAAGGAGTTGAGGATTTTTAGCTACCAATCTACTTAAGGTTTCTCCTAACCCTGATTTTAGAGGCTTCAGAAGTAAAATTAGTTAATTTTTTTGGCAATTTCCCCCCAAGTGGTACCAGCACAAAAAGATATATTTGGATAACAGGAAAGTAATTAACTGTGAAACAGTAACTCTTTACTTATTTCCACTACAAGAAGTTGATCAGTAACCCATAAACCTAGTTCAGTGAGGCTTGGAAAGACTACTGATGTAAGCCTCAAACTTAAAGAGATCTTTCTCCCTATTTATATAGAAATACTATATTAGAAAAAACATACGCAATTATCTAAAGGACTGTTTCCCTATTAAAAATGGAGAACCTCTTTTTATGATTAGGTCATTTTCCCTCTTTTTTGGAGAGAGGAGGAATTATATAAAAGATTTTCTCAAGAATGTCTATTGTTCCTAGATCAAGAGGCAAAACTATTGTTACTCAGTCTATAACTCCAAGAAGATTAGAGGGGATGAAAACCCAGATTAAACTAGCTAAACTGCTTAGACAACCCAACTTGCAGACTTTATCAGTAATTTACAGTAAGGGGTATTGGAGAGGAAGTTTCTTGGCCAGGTAAACAAGAATCTGTTTCTGGAAACATATTTTTCTGTTTTATGCCAATAAGCAATATTTACACAGTAAGAGGTTGTTTTTGTTGCATTTGCATCTTTGCAGAAAAGTTGGGATGATGTACCAACTTCACTGCTGGCAATTTTAAAACAAGTAGTCAGTCATCTTTCTGATGGAACCAGAGACTTCATACAACAGAAAAAACCCAGTAAAGTTCTAGAGCAAGGGTTCATAATATTTTTCTGTGTCATGGATCACTTTGACAGTCTGGTGAAGCCTATGGACCTCTTAGAATAATGTTTTAAAATGCATAAAATAGGAAACAAATTCACACACCCACACACCCACCCACAGATATATGAAGTTCTCAGACCCCAGGTTAAGAACCCTTATGTTAGAGAGACATTGGAAAGAAAAAGGAGACAATGTGGTCACATTTGAGAGACTAGGAAAACATGGAATATTTCATGGTAGGTAGTAGGCACTCAACAGTTTAAGCAGTTGTATTTTGACAAGATGAGGAGGAGAAATATTTTTATTAGCCTGGATAGTGAGTAACAATAAATAACTTAGTTTATTATCATAATAAGCAGGGACCATTTTTCATTCTGCCTTTGTATTACCATTACTTTGTTTAAGCAGACACTAAATAAGTAAGTGTGTGCTGGATTAAATGATGGATCACAGAAAAACAAAAACAAAAACCAACAATGGTGCACTTCTGTTCTTCAGAGACAAAAGGTGTTAGATCAACTCCACAAGGCAGCACCTTATGGGTTCATAATCGCTGGCAATCGGTCAATGTCCAATTTGTGCTTTTAAAACACACGACTAGAAGAATACTGAGGGGGAGGCATGAGGTATACTAAGGATGAAGGGCTCAGGTGGGAAGGATATCTCTTTTCTAACAGTCTAAGCAATGTTATTCCCACTTTCTCTTCCCTGCAGAGAACAAGGTGTTATTTTTGCAAGAAAGCAGAATACCAAGAGACTTAAGGGCCAGGTGAGACACAAAACAAAAGCAGTTGCCTTTTGGAGTCCCTGTTAGGGCTTTCTATTGATCTCATAGATTAAGCTGACTGCTGGGAAAGATAAATACTTAAAGCAAACCTTTCTGGCTTTTCCCACAGATCAGGTCAGCTGGCTGGCTCGTAGACAAGAGGACAATGATGGGATACATCAGTTATAAAGGCAAAAAATCCAAGATTTTCTGACAGATCTGCACTTCATCAGTAAATTAAGCCAATATGCCAACGGAGTATTTATTTAAAATCATTCTTCCTGGTTCTTTAACTTTAGAAGTTCTTTACCTGAGGAGAAGAAACATATGCCAGATAAGCTGTTTCAAATTTCTCAAAAGTTTGTCAATCATATACAGAGCTCTTCTGGGGTTACAACAGGAGACCACCCCAGACCTTGCTGGACTATGTAACAGGGAATTCTGAATTGAGCAGACATGGTTGCATAGGACAAGATTTCTTATCTCCTAGCTGTCAGGACATTTAGTATCATGTATCATTTAAGGTGGTGTGGCATTCTACTATGGTGATTAACAACAATTATAACACATACATGACCACTGTATAGTAGGTTGAAGGATGTTTCTGACTGGTCTCTCCAGCATCCACTATTGCAATCCCCAAATGCTTCAGGGCTGTAGTACTGTTTCCCAAATCATTACCATCATCATCTGGGATGATGACAGATACATAATCACAAGCTGACTGTAGGAATTCAGTCTACCTATCAACAAAGAAGAATGGGAAGGCAAGTAAAAGAAAGGAAAACAAAAGCCAAAATATTAGGCAAATATTCAAGAATTTCAAGATAAGATTAGGGCTAGGAAGAGGCAAATCTCGAAGGAGGACAGTACAAGGGAGGCCATAAAGTTACAATTTAGTTTTTAACTCCAGCACTTAGTATTAATTAATAAAAATTAACTAAGCTACTAATGGCTGAGCCTAAGTTGAAAATACAGTGATTTTTTTTTAAAGAGGCAGAAACTAGAATTTGTTAAAAATAAGCTGGTTTGCTTTCAATTTCTAAAGCCATCCTAGCAAAGAAAAAGTTTCTGAGTTGAAGATGTTTAGAGATAAAGAAGATAACAATGAACTATGCTACACAGGTTTTTTAGCTTATTTGGATTTCAAGGTATTTGGAAGTCACCTATACATGTACATAATTTTTAGTTTTTTAAAAAAAATTTTGAGACTAAGTTTCTGGAAGTATAGCTAATCTCATCACTTAAAGGTATGGAAGCTTTAACCCGATCATCTCTGACCTGGGCTGGCTCACCCCTCCCTACATATCCCCTGTGTCAAAGGGCTCACCATATTGGTGCCTATAGGATAACAGGCCTGAGCTACCACATCTGGCATGTATATAAGTTAAAAAAAAAAAAAAAATATATATATATATATATACACACACACACATGTATATATGGGTCACTGATAATTTATAGAGGAATGGTGGGGAAAAAAAATCCCAACACTATTATTTCAAGGTTGAAGTACTGAGTTGAATCATTATCTTCATTCATCTTTCTTTTAATAACTCAGAAAATTTTCTCAACTATCAAACCAAGAAGTATAGTTTAAAAACAGATTTTTAATTATCAAGGCTACCGTTTTTATTGACCAGATAATGATCTGAATAAGTTAAATCAATAAAAGAACATTCAATAGAATAGATAGGCATCTTAGGAATTGATCTTAGCTTAGCAAAAGATCTTAGGAATTACTGCAGTTGAAAATCACACACAATTTCATAGCTTTAAAGCTGGAAGATATCTTAGCATCTCTTTTGAAATAAGTCAACAAACATAATGTTATTAAGTGTTATATGAAAAAAATACCATATTAATTCAAAGTAATCCAACAAACAGTAAACCCATGATGTGTAACAATAGTGACCAATCCCATCTTCAGAGGACTACTTTCCTTCTCCAGGCAACTGTATAAAAAGATAAAAGACAGCCCCTTGTTCAACAGTAGGTTACAGTCTAAAATGAGGATGAGAAAAGTACACAAGTGCATTCAATGAAGAATATAAGAACAAAAGAAAAATCCTGACGAAGAGATACGCACTTTTTTTTTTTTTAAACAAGAGATACTGGAAAGGGGTATCTTGTAAAACTATGGCTGGAGGGGATAATTCTTAACCAAATGAGATTGAAGTGTTTATTTAAAAAAAGATAATTTTGATTACATCACATTAAAAATTTTTTTGCATGAAAACACTGTAGAGTTAAAGTAAGTCAAGAAGCTAATGCCTGGGGGAAAATCTTCACAGCAAATATCTCTGATTAAGGAAGGAAAGAGACAACAATTTATTAAGCACTTACTATATACCAAGCATCATGCTAAGCACTTTACTATTAGTATCTCATTTGAGTCTCAAGACACTCCTAGGAAGAAGGTGCTATTATTATCTCCATTTTACAGGTGAGGAAACTGAGGCAGAAAGAGGTTAAGTCAATAGTCAGTAAACATTTATGAAGTGGCTGCTATGTGTCAAGTACTGTGCTAAGCACTGGGGCTATAAAAAGAAGCAAAAGATAGTCCCTGCCCTTAAGGAGCTCACAGTCTACTGAGTGACTTACCTAGGGTTACACAGCTAGTAACTGGCTGAGGCTGGATTTGAACTAAGGTCTTCCTGACTCTAGGCCCAACACTATAGCCAAGGTCCCACCTAGCTGCAGACACCAAGACATCCAAGAAATACAAAAAATTTAAACGAATATAAAAGATCAAGGACCATTTCCAAATATACAAGGGGTCAGAAGATATAGACAGGCACCTTGCAAAAGAAGAAATGCAAACAATCAACGACCATACGGGAGAATGCGCCAAATCACTAATAGGAGAAAGGAAAATTAAAACAATTTTCGGTTTCACCTAACATCTATTAAAGTGGCAAAGATGACAAGATGAAAATGGTAAATATTGGAAGGGCTCTAGGAAGACAGGCATGATAACTAACATAATGTTGATAGAGAGTGAGTGAATTGGTCTAGGTATTGTGGAAAACAAGAATTATACTAAAAAGTACTAACCTATTTATACCCAATGAACCAGTAATACCACAATAGAACATGTACCTTGGAAGAGCAAAAATAGAAGGAAAGCTCCCATGTATACATAACAAATATTTATGGCAGTCCTTTTAGTGGTAGATAGAACTAGAAGCAATGCAGATGATCAATAATTAGAGAATGGTGGAATAAATTGTAGCAGATGTATGTAATTAAATATTATTGTATCATAAGAATTAAGCAGAACGAAGAAGAATCAGGAAAATAATGATAACAATTACAGAAATGAAGACATCACTGAAAGACATCAGAATTCTGACCAACGCAATGACAAAGTCTGACGGTGAAGTATGCTTCCCTCTTTTTGGCAAACAGGCGGCAGATTAGAGGTACAGAGTGGGGCATAGTTTTTAAAGATGTGGCCAACGTATTGCCTTGTTTTGCTTAGCTGTAATTTTTTTGACACAAGTTAGGAGGGGGTTCTCTGGAATAAGTGCTTAGCACATAGTTAAGTGCTTAACAAGTATTTATTAACCGAATGACTTGGCAAAGGGTGGTGGTAGCCCTGCCTGTAATTCGCATCAATGGGAAATGATAGCTATATGAAAATATGTCCACAAATGGCAGAGGAGCAGGAAGAAGTACAGCTGAGCTTTACTTCAAAACTCTTTCACACAAATCTTGAAAACCCACTAGACCAGAGGTGGGGAACCTGCAGCCTCAAGGTCACGTGTGGCCCTCCAGGTCCTCAAGTGCGGCCCTTTGACTGAATCCAAACTTCACAGAACAAATCCCCTTAATGAAAGGATTTGTTCTGTAAAATTTTTGACTCCTTCAAAAGGTCGCATCCAAAGCTCTAGAAGGCCACAGCTTCCCCACCCCTGCACTAGACCAAGTCCTCCTGATTGGGAAATTTAATTTAAAAAAAATCAAAAGGGACAACTGGATGGCTCAGTGGATAAAGCTTCGGCCTTGGAGTCACGAGGACCTGAGTCCAAATCTGACTTCAGACACTTGACACTAGCTGTGTGACCCTGGGCAATACACTTAACCTCGACTGCCTCACCAAAAAAAAAAAAAAAAAAAATCGAAGTGTGTCATTTTTCCTGACCAGGTTGGCATAGACAGACACAGAAAGATCTTTAGATATTGGGGATAGGGTCTAGCCAAGAACAACCACAAAGAGAATTCTAGCACAGGGAGAGGCCATGTACCAGGGCAAGAAGGGGTGCCAGATTCAGTACACAGGGGCCTAACTTTTCACAGGGTACAGGAATAGGTGTTAACAGGCAGCTCTGTCACTCACTACCCAGTTTCAGATCACAGATTCAGAGAAGAATGTAGAAAAACTTTGGCATTTCAGGTCACGGGCCCTACACTGTGTACAGCCCATGCTGAAGCCTGCAGTGAAATAATCAGGGAAAGAAACCCAGATCAAAGGGGAGCCTGCAGTTCTGTCACTTTGAACCAGTAGTTTTCCAGATGTCTGACAGTGGCTAGGTCAGCAGTAGTCTACTGAAACTCCAAATAGGGCAGGCCCACAGGTGTATTCACAGATCTAGACCCAGGTTAGGAACATGTAGAGTATAGACCAGGAAGGTAGTGATCAAACTTTACCCTGAATTACATCACTGGGGGAGCACTGAAAGCTTCTAGTTCACCACCCTGAGCTATCCCTGGGATCCTGAAATAATACAACATTCAATAGCCCATGAAAATAGCATCAGGACCCTAGACTATATAAGCTCAATATTCCCCTCTAGAAGGATGCACAGCCTGGCCCTACCATAAAGTCTAAAGTCTGGAAACAGGATAGAAGAATGAGCAAACAAACAAAAATCCCACCATAAAGAGCTATTATGGTGACATGAATGCTCAAGACAGAAACCCAGAAAAACTGAATGACTCCAAAACATCTACAAGCAAAGCCTCAGAGAAAAACATAGCTTGGGCACAAGTTCAATTAGAATTCCTGGAAGAGCTAAAGCAAGAATTTAAGGAGTTTAAAAAAATTTTTTTTAATAAATTCTATCAGAACACTAGAAGAAAAAACTGGAAAAGAAAAGAGAACTATGAAAGAAAGAATTGGGAAGGGAACTAACAGCGTGGCACAAAGAAAGGGAATTGGGAAGAGAATTAACAGCTTGTCCAAGCAACAAAACTACCTGAAAATTTGAATGGATCAAATAGAAGTTAATGACTCCATGAGACAACAAAAGAAAATTAAAAGGTCAAAACACTGAAAAAAATAAAATAAAATGTAAGGTATTTAATGGCAAAAACAACTAACCTGAAAAACAGATCAAGATGAGAAAATTTAAGAATTACTGGACAACTTGAAAGCTATGACCAAAAAAGGAGCCTAGACATAATTTAAAAAAACCAAACAAAAAAAGCAAACCCAAACCCCTCAAAAACTGTCCATCTCTCAGAACCAGAGGGCAAAGTGGAAACAGAAACAATCTACTGATTACCTCTAATAAGAAATCCCAAAATGCATGCTCCTAGGAATATTATAATCAAAATCTAGAGCTTCGAGGTCAAAGAAAACACTATAAGCAGCCAGAAAGAAAGAATTCAAGTACTTATAAGTCATAGTCAGGACTACACCTGATATAGCAGTTATCACTATTTAGAGCAGAAAGCTTGTAATGTGATATTTCAGAAGGCAAAGGCTATATAAGCTTTCAACCAAGACTGTTTGTTG